TACATATGCATTTATAACAGTATTCTCATGTATTGATAATTTTTACTCTTTAAATCCTTTGGAGTAAATTTAAAATGGAGTAATAAAAATTTTATTCTAAAGAGTGAAATAAATTCAATCAGTTTTGAAAAAGATTGGCTCAACTTTCAATCTTTAAGGGCGAGATTTCATTCTTTAGAATTCTAAAAGTTTTAAAGAGGTATAACAGATAAATTAAATAGAAAGATATATTAAATATATTTAATATGATATATTTAATCACGTATTTTAATTTTTGATTTTACAGGACTGTAGGAAGCCAGCTGGTGATGGATCCGATGCTGGTCTGTAAGAAAACAAGACGTCTGAAGGGAAAATTAGCTGACATTTGTCGTAAAGAGCCATCTTTGTTGAAAGAAATCGCGAAGGGTGTTCAAGTAGGTACTAGGGAATGTCAATACCAATTTCGAAATCGAAGGTGGAACTGTACGACCGTCAGGAGATCTCTCAAGAAGATTCTGCTTCGTGGTAAGCTTCATCGAGATATATAATCAGTAATAATTAACTTCAGAGATTATTAAAGGTTGAATAATTTGTATTACTCTTAGTTTATTATGTGATACGTTTAATATATAATGGATTATTTCAACATACTGGATCATATATTTTTAATGATTTTTTAATGATGATGTTTAAATGGATTTAAATTAAGAAATAAGTAATTTTTTTACACTTTATAATTAACGAAAAGTATTTAAAGATCCGAACGAGGCCTTTGCGCACGTCAGACACTCGATCCCGTAAATTCGCGAATCATGGTCGCAAGGTCGAGCAAATGCTATTCCGAGCCCCGGTCTCCGACCCCCCTCTCTTCGAAAAACGGATCTCCGGTCCTGTGGTCCCCCTTTCAGGAGCGAGAAGGGGACCCGCGCACGACAATGCACACGCTAGCGGCAGATTACAGGGCGCTACTCGTTCGACATTAGGCGAACCGGATGTCGATTACACACTCCCCTACAAGGCCTGAGGGCGATTCGTTACGATTAAATGCCGGTGCCCGATCGGCACACCTCCAGAATGGGCTACCCCTTTAGGACCTTTAAGGACCTTTCTACGTGCAGGGCCTTTAAGAAATCCCTTCGCGTGTGGAGCATGACGTTGACCACTCTATACCGATACGAGTGTATTAACGATAAAACATGATATATAACAATATGGTATTTTTATGTTTGGTATTTTTATGTTTTCATTTAGAATAATTGATTATTATTCAAAAAATTATATCAAATTATTAAACTTTTTTTCTTATATTGTTTTACGCTTACATGTCTCTAAATTATATTTACATAAAGTTTATTGGGATAAAAAGAATATATAAAAAAGAATGCAATTTAAGTTAGAATTTATTTTTAAAGAAAAGAGAGAAGTCGATTTTTTTATTTGATTTTTTATCTATTCTTTATATCACATATATTTTTTCTTCAAATATGTTATGATGCAACTTTATTTTATTGTATTTATAACTTGGACAGATCATGGCGTTTTTTATCTTACTGTTTAAGAATGCCTTTTTCGAGTTAGGATACATTATGGATGAATAATTATTTTTAAATTAACCTTAATAAGACATTCTAGATATATATAGTGTTTCAGTGGCTAGAAAAAAGATAATAACTACTCTGTTTTAATGTTGGGACTACGTCGACGCGTATACAACTATAAAGTCAAACTACAAGGTGTCACAGCAAATAGTAGCGTGTAGTAATATGATAATAATGATAATGCCACCGTTATTGCCAACAGGAATACTTAACTGATCGAAATGTTGAGAAATTGAAGTTCCACGAACTATATTATTATAGCTCGTTCATGTCACATCCGCGTTCGTATCATTATTATCCGTTAAAAAAATTGTTTCTTTTTAACTTCCTTGTTTCTTTGTCAGCAATTTGCACAAAAAAAGACTAGCATAATTACTGAAATAAAAAAAAGAAGTTTACCTTGTTGAAAGTTATTCGTATATAATCTCAATACAATGTTTTATAATATATTTTATAAGATTTCAAAATTTTATAGAATACAATTATTTTCAATAAAAATAATTTTTAATAGAATATTTTTAAATAAAAATAATTAATATGATAAACGAGAAAATATCTTCATATTCTTTGTCGTGAGATGTTATATTTCTTCATTTTCAATTATATGGTATATTAGAGTTATTAACAAGTTTATATACAGTTATTTTCATTTTTAAAGCATTACAAAAAATTTTGTATTTTTTTTTAGGTTTTTTTGCTTCGGTAAAAATTCACTAGAGCGCTTTTCATAAAAGAATAGTGTATCTTATTATCGTATATAAAATAGTATTTATATATTATCATAGAAAAAATACTTTAAAAATGTTTAATTTCGAAAGCATTTATTTTTAATATTTTTTATGAATTTAGTACAAAAATATATTAGCAAAATTTTATCAATTTTCATATTTTATTTTTATTATAATTAGTATTATATAATACAATATGTATATATAATTATTATATTATATAATATTAAATAATAAAAAAATATAATATTATATAATCTATATTTTATAAATTTATAATTATATTATATAATATAATAATTATGTCTATTTTCATCAAAGAATAGCATTTATTTATTGATCTTGCATAAACATAGATTCATTTATCTAGTGGAGAATTTGTAAACAAGCATGAACGAATTCTATCTTGATTACGTTAACAATTAATTGTTCAGTTTTTATCATCGAATTTGGACCTTCTTTCTCTGTGCGCGGTAAATCTGAATCCGATGAAAGATGAAACTGTCCGCGTGGTTCACTTACTCAGTTAGCCATCCGATATATTAATTTCGGGTGATTGGTTACGACAACCAAATCGAAGACGTGTTCAATAGTCTGTGCTGATCGTCCGATCAGATCGGTGTCTTATGGTAGCTTGACAGATTGACACTGTCCGTCGAATATTAGTGGCAATATGTTCCTTTAATTAAAGCCTTTCTGCTACGACAAACCGCGGCTAAGTCTTTCCATTTTGTCTCCCACTTTCACCTTTTTTCTTTCCTTTACTTGCTCTCTCGCGATCTAAAGATCGCCGTCAATCTTATCGATCGTGATTTGATACAGGATCGTCTCTCAGGTAAGACGCTAAATGCGGACGCGCGTGGAATCCACGCCTGGCGATCGATGATCGTATTAAGCACGACACCGTCGGGGATGCCTGACGATCGGCATTCATTCGTGAAAGATGCGAGAGATAGTATATTATTAACGAGACAGCTCGTCGGCCTGAATAAATAAAGCGATAGATTTAATTAAGCGAATAGATACCGCGCTCGGTATTTTCATTTATTTTGGGATATTTCGGAAATCCAAATATTCTATAGTATTTAGATATAGTCATTTACTTTCACATAAAGATACATATAAATAATATGTGATACGACAAATTTGTTATACAGAATATTACATAATATCTTAATAATTGATTGTCATATTAAATACAAAGCGGAGACAATTATTCGCCACGCAATCCTTTTATGTTCTATAACACAGAATTTAAGACTTTTTTCTTCGTGATGGTTTTTTTTTCATTCAGTTTTATTTCTTGAGATGCATACATTCCTATTATATTTAATTTGAGAAATAATTATTTTTAAATTGAATAAAAATTTAATTATAATTATTTTTTATGAACATATTTAGAAATACCTGTAAATTTCTGGATGAATACTTGATATCTTTCTTTAATATAACAAATATTTTTAATTTTCATATTTTAATTCTTAAGAGAATCATTACAAATATAGTTGAATTGAATCACAATATCACTGCAGCAAGTTAATTTGCATTCTATTTGTTATTTATCTTGCCTCACTCCATAAAGGTGACATTGCTGTGTAAGTTGATAAAGTCCGATTATACGTTTTAAATCATTGTAAAGTTCGTTATGAATTATAAAGAATTTATAATTGTTGTTTCTACAGAATGTCCCGAATTTCAATGGCCAAACTTTGAGAACGTATAGGGATCGATAAACTAAAAAAAAAATTTCCCTACATATTCCCGAAGTTTAGCTATTTAAATTCAGGAGGTTCTGTATAATGAGTTTTTATTCCACGTATAGTATATCTACGTGTCCTCGTATTTGTTGTATTATTATTTCATGAAGTTCGCTTATCAGATAGAACTACAGTTCTTTTTATGTTTTTTAGCTTCGAGATATGTACATAAATACATAAAAGTTATGAAACTAATAATAATAATAATAATAATAATAATAATAATAATAATAATTTTGATAATAGAAATAAGAAAGCACAAATCAGTTTGTCAAATAAATATCGCATTGTGTTGCGAAGCGTTCGTAGAGTCAGAAGTTACACTCAAAAAAATGGTAGGCCTCTGTCGGGAAAAGGTTGGACAGCAGGTACATAAATCTCGTCTACAAAATGCATTATTGGACAGTGCGGATCGATGACAGGGGCGGCAATGTGTTAACCGGTCGTTCCGGGTGACAATTCTCGCCGTCATCATTTATCTGTGACTCCGTTCGTGGACAGCTTACCTTAGGAAGTCCCATGTAACCGTTATACCGTTTTTATTGGGCTGCTTTGTAGCGACTTTATGTATTTCTATATACTTCCATATTATATATATTCTTATTGAATTATTGTTGTTAGGGAATAAAATTGTTATTACATTTAGTTTAATTATTATTTAAATTACCGTTATTAGAATATTATAATTATCTACTTTTTATTTTTTAAATTGATTATTTGAATTAAAAATCGAAATTTGTCGGATTTTTTTAAAGGACTACATTCTTATCTCTTGGATAAAAAAATTTGAAACTTATAATTGTTAATTCTTTTTGTCTCAAACATATATGAACTAATCAATGTCGTACTTTAAACAAATTTGTAAATTGCGAAGATTATATCTATTATAAAAAAAAGAATAAATTGTTATTAATCTGTCGTTTTTAATCTTTGCTGTAACACATACTATTTCTTCGAAATTCAGCTTTTATGACATCGTAAATAGGATCTATTGATACATGTGACTATTATCTGTTACAAGCTGAAGACAGATCGCAGTTAGGAATCTAGGCGGAAGAAATATACGACTTTCTAGGCCACCCGTTTTGTCCAAAAAGATTTTAAGGAACACGTGGAGTTTGGCTACCGAATCCTACTATTCGAGCTTCTTTTCCCTTTGGAAATTTAAAATAGATAAATTATAAGAAATAAATACTTTGTCAAGGAATAACAAAAACAATGTGAAAGTAGTAATGGAAACTTTCAGCTTTTTACTGTTTTTATTTTAATTAAACAATTGAAGAAATAATAAGCAATAAGATATAATATCGAATTATACAATAAATAACTGAAGCATTTTAAAATGAATATTATAAAAATAATAACATACTATATTTTTTAGAAATATTTTTTATTCACATTTTACATAATTTACATTTTTGTCTATAAAAGTAAATACAGAA